AATGGATAACTGCATCTGGCAATTCATCCCAACATTGGAAGCCACGATGTGAGGAAACATGGTTTGTAAAATATGCAGATGCTTTGGTGAATCCTCATTAAAATGGGAACGCACTTAATTTAAAATCATTGCAGCATTAAATGACATTTTCCACCACTTTATCTGAATTGTTATTGGGAAATGTGACACTAAACACATAGAGTACACTCTTCAAATCCTCCACTGGTTATGATAACGATCTGGTTGATGACTGAGTTAATAAAGGAAACAACACCAGCGTTGTCATCTGCCATTAGAGTTCCAGTTTCGTTCTTTGACTCAGCAATGACACAGCACTGTATGCCCGCACCTGCCACCAGTCTCTCACTTGAAATCCTTCGGCATCATTCTTAAACCGGAGTGGCACTAAGAGCGTCTCCTGGAATGAAGTGACCAGATGTCCAGTGGGGGATGCTGAAAGGGAGTGGCTGGCGGGGGCAACGACCATTTTGCAGTAAGCATGACACGAGTTGACTGGCGCTGGCACGGAAATAGATTAACGGCTATGTTAATTGTTAACATGAGGTCAGCCCCGTAAGTCTACTGCGACATCATCATAAAAACATGGGAGCCACATAGCTCCACATGTGATATGAAATGGACGCATGCAAGTTGGGAGCGGGTAAAAATGGGAATATAGTAATAGGAATATTCAGGTCCAGTTTCAGTTCATGTTTGGTGCCTAAATTGTCAATTTGAAACCAAAGAATACCTACCTTAAATTCACTTCGTGGTTAATTTTGGTTATGAACCACAGGCATGTGTTAAATAAATGTTGTGCCCCGCTCTGATTGTTCCTTAATTAAACCCAACCGACTTTGGGCACTTTATCGACAGGCCTGACACAACCAATGCATTCCAGGTGTCGTGCTTCCAAACAATTGTTTGAATGTTTTATTGGATGGTGTCCATCCTCCCACTGAAAACTTCCCATGAATCAGCTACAAATGAACACACAAGCATCAATCCATATAAGATGAATTATGATCTTCACACCAAAGAATTTTAGGGTCACACTAGCCTTTTTGGGGATGGCTTGGGGCTTGATTCCCAGTTACATTCACCAAGTATTGTGAAACAAGTCGCAAAAACGCTCATAATCACACATTATTTGGCAGAGCACACTCCAGACTGGGAGAGATTTAAAAGGAAGTAGTCTACGTACCATAACATTCCTTCCTCTCCGGATTCCGTCCACTCCTTTCTCCTCGCAGTGTTGAAAAAGAGACAAAAACACTCCCCGCCAACACTCTCATCGATTATTATCCGTTTCCAGGGGGCGAAAAGAGTCTAAGCGTCCATTCCTTGTCACTTTGTACGCTCTCGTCTGAAGTTTTCACATTAGCATTTCTACGCGTGTGCGTGTGCGTGTGTCTGTGTGTGTGTGCGTGCCGGAGGGCTAACCGACAACTGAATGCTAGTTAAGGGGGAAAAGCGACCAAAAAATGCCGCACAAAGTCGTCTTCCACACGCCTTTGAACAAGGAAGAGGGGGGAAATGGAGGCTCTGCCGGTTTTAAAACGACCTTTGGGAAGTCTTGTCTTTCTTGCTTCGCCACCACGTTGTTTGGAGCAATTATTATTTCCTTTGTTATGTCCAAAATAAAAGATTCGCCAAAAGAGGGAAAAGGGGTGAGCTGTCTTCAATGATCTCAGCGGTGAGAGGAGAAAAAGAAAAGGTTGAATTCCCGTCTTCTTCGCTCGTGTTGTTGAGCTGCTGGCAGGCTAGAAAAAAAAATGTGTGACGGTGTGTGGTAAGTCTTATTTTTTTGTCAGATTTCTAATAATGGCGGCGGCCCCTCTCCTGACTCCAGGCAGCATCTCCCCTCCTCTTTCGCGGCCAACACAAAAAGACAGTCTCGCCCAGTGGTTCATGCACACCGTTACAGCACGCGCATACGTACACGCGCGCGCGCACACACACACGCACGCGCATACGCACATTCTCACGTGCACACGCTCTCTCTTGTTCGGGAATCATAGTAATCATTGTCACCGTTCCATTTGACATAGCTTTAGAATTCAACAGTTTGGAAATCTATTTTGACATTTTTAAAAGTGAGAACGGTCCACTACAAAGGATTCTTCTTCGCGTATCTGTAGTCATAGTGAGACAACTGAAAGGAAATGCACCATGTACTTTAAAAACGGAGACATTTTTTTTATAAATAATATACACCGGTATCTCTCTCTCGTTCTCTCACACACACACACACACACACACACACACACACACACACACACACACACACACACATATATATATATATATATATGGAACAGAATTTCTTACAAATATTAATTACAGTGTATAAAAAAATACAACTGTCATCATCATCATTATTACTATTATTATTACTATTTATTATTTACCAGAACGTGCTTCAAAACAGGAACAGATAGATGCATAGTTGACAGATTTTTATTGTAGATAATAATGAAAGACAAATTGGGAGACAGAAATAAAATGTAAAATGAAAGACCAATAATTATATGAAAATAATCATATAATTATATTAAAAAGAAGAGGAACAATAGTTGCATAAAGCCAATTAAATAATTTTATTAAAAATAATAATAATAACAATAGTCATACTACAGTAAGAGAATAAAATAATAACAATAATAATAATAATAACAGTAAAAATAAAACAATATTATAATATAAATGACAAATTTAATGTAACTCACTGTACAGATTAAACTGCAGAAAAACATTAATATTAATAAAATATCATATAACAGGCATATATGGCACACATAGACGAGGGACAATTTAGAGTGTTCCATTAACCTGCCATGCATGTTTTTGAAATGTGGGAGGAAACCGGAGTACCCGGAGACCGGAGTACCCGGAGAAAACCCACGCAGGTACGGGGAGAACATGTACACTCCACACAGGAAGGACGGAGCCGGAATCTCACCCTGCTCCTCCGCACTGTGCGGCCGATGCGCTAACCAGTCGACCAGATAGACTCAATCAAGAGAGAGAAGTGGGTTTTTTTCTGCCCATCTTATTCAGTGTCATGATCGTAGATGAGGTGCTTCCTAAATGAGTGACAGCAAAAGTCGCAACACACCCTGCACAGATCACCTGTCAATCAAAGGACTGACACTATTGAATCCGAGTCTTCAGTGCATTTAACATACTCCATGTTTTTTGAAAGTTGGAGGAATCCAATGTAGATGCTCAATAGTTTACTATATACTCATTTTTGTTATCTATAAACAGCCAGTTTGTGTTCAAAGTGCACTGACCTTTGCTTGAATAAACACACAAGCTCATGTCCAATCACATTGGACACCGTGTCCCTCTCTAGCAATATTTGCACGACCCAAGTGACAAGAAGCAAGATTAACAGGGGTCGAAGTTTCTGCAAAAATAATCTGCTGCTGTTTTGAATCCGTTTTGTTTTTCTTTTTGCCTTGGCCTAAACACTGGTCAACTAAGAGTTTGAATTAGAAAAGCAAAAGCTATTTCAACAAAGACGCTCTAAATACCGAAGTTAGCTTTCCTTGGCCTTGTATTTTTTTCTTATCCATTTCACCCCATCCTTTCTCTGGACTTGCAGCTGAAATAGTTTTTGGTCTCTAGGGCCAACACATTCCTCCATTCAAACGTTGTGCAATCTCTGACAGTCCCAAGTTCCTCCACCCCATCTAATTCCAACGAATGCTCAGCCCGGAGAACACCACCTCTCGCCCAACTGAGATAGGGTCAAACTCACCCATGACCCAAATAAGAACAAGCACGATTGAAAAAGGATCTGATGATTGACTTAAAGTGAGTAGTGACTTTACCACATCCAGTTATGGCTCATTCCTGGCTATTTGTGGCTTTTCCATCCCAATGAAGACTTTTAATATTTTATCTACAATTAATACATTAATAATTATGATACCATTTGATCATAGATTGTGGTCTTCCTTCAATCATTAACACAAAATAAGGCCTATAAAAAGGAAAAAAGTGAGTGAGCATAAACTGTTTGTCTGCCTTTTTTTGTGTGTGTAAGTTTTCGGATCTTCCCCTTTTTTGCCATACTTCAGTTTGAAATGTGATTTGAATTTTTTTTTCATGTATTGTTCATGTATTTTTTTATTTCCATGTATTGTTCATCCATGTCTGTGTTTATTTTCTTTGTTACATTGTAATAAACACTTGATAAACTGTGTTGTTGTTTTTACTCTATAAATACACCTGGATTGGACTGGTACTGTACGTTCTACTCTTAAATTTCTACCAGGCTAAATTATGATGAAAGTAAACTAAAATTATTTTTTTCTAAAAATCACAAACCTATTTGTTATTCATAATGAGTTTTTTTTCTTTTTATAACAGATAAGTTGCTAAACTTAATTTACTCATAGCCGTGGCTAATTTGAATGAAATGAAGTGGAGTGTGGAGCAATCCAACCTGGCTGTTCGTTCCTCGGTTACGTTTTGTTATTTTATCGTTTTTTGGGGTGCTTGACCCCTATCAATTCATGTTCCTGAAGTTTTAGCATGTCATCTGTCTGATAAAATATTAAAAATCTTCAGATATACTATTTTCCCAATGAATGTATTCCTCCGAAAAACCAAGGAAACACACACCCTTTACACTGTAAAGTTTACAGCTTTACTAGTTATAAGTCTGCTTGCAAAATTGGTGCGAAGCAGTTTACATAGTGCTCTGTCGAGCTAATCAGCTCATCTAGATATTACTCATCCTTATTGAGTATTTTTTTTAATGTTTTTTTTTTTTTTTTTGTAAAATCATTACATTTGTGGATGAATGCACCACGCACCGTTTAAATAAGATATTTTAAAAAAATCTGACTGGTTTTGAATCATGTGATCTCGGCACAAGTCATTACGAAAGGATGCTGGTTCTTGGAGTTTTAAATCACTCGCAATAGTGCCAAACGCGTTTATGAAAACTACTCCCCCCAGCATGCAACGCGACATTACTATTTCCCCTACTTCTGGTTAGCTTGGAAGAGATAGCGGTCGAGCGGTCTGAAGAATTACTTATGAATTGGAATAAACGCGCGACATAGTATTCCACGAACGTACCTTGTTGGAGTTTAGTAGGTCCTAAATTAGGAAACGAACATGGTAAATACGTCGCTGATTAATTTAAAAAAATGTTTATAGTTTTGTTGCCGATCACCGCTAGCGTGCTTAACATTTAGCAACACAAGTCACTTGGCTGTAGCGTTAAAGGCACATAATATACTATTCAAGCAAGGCAATGTAACTATTATCTTAGAAGCAATGTGATATCAACTTGTGAAAATAAGTGCCCCGGTTCGTTTCGTCATCGCTTCCACTTAGCTATTGCAAACAGAAAATGTACCTTAAAATGAAATCGGTCTTCTGTGCTCCACTTAAAGTCAAAGCAACGATGTTTGATTGAATTACACTGTGATATACTGCTGTATATTCCCCGTCTGATATAATTTTGTCCATTTTAGATCCGCTTCATTCTGATCCAGAACCGAGCCGGCAAGACACGACTCGCAAAATGGTACATGCAGTTTGACGACGACGAGAAGCAGAAGTTGATCGAGGAGGTGCACGCAGTGGTAACTGTCAGAGATGCCAAGCACACCAACTTTGTGGAGGTGAGTTCATTCCTGATCAGGACTGGAATCATAATGCAAGCAGTGATTGAAAGTCTCAATCCCTTGACCCAGTGACAACATTTTGAAAACAACAAATACACACGTTCTTCCGTGTGACAATCTTAGAGGAATGGGTCGCCTTCTTATTTTTGCCCACCAGTTATCTTCCTTTCCTTATTTTATTACGTTTTGGAGTCAGTGACACATAGCTACTCTCATTTTTAAAATACAACTCTTTAGTTGGACATTTTCTGGACCTCTTATTGAGCAGCTAGCTTCTATCACTACCAATAGTGATCGCAACGTATCTATGCGTCGTCTTGAGAAGTTTACCAACCTGACTGTTGGACCTGTGCTGGAATCTTATGTCAGATGGCTGTTAGGTGTCAAAGCGGTCGGCCATCAGCTAGTGGCCAACGCGAGCTACTCCTCTGCAAACTGCCAATCACGAACTCACCCACATAAACGTTTCGGAAGAATGTATAAAAAAATAATAATCATAAATTGCTGAGCAAAACAGACGCAGTGGCACCCGTTTTTTTCTTCATTCAACGAAACTCACAAAGATGTGGAGAAACTAATTATTGTCATATGGACGAGCCTGAGACTAAATGGTATTTGTAGACCTTTTGTTATTTACTGTATTCTTGTCAACTTGCAGTTCCTTAAACGCACTTTAAGGCCAAATAATTAAGGCTAACAAGTATTGTTTCCACAGTTCCGAAACTTCAAAATCATCTACCGACGCTATGCTGGACTCTACTTCTGCATTTGTGTTGACGTGACTGATAATAACCTGGCATATCTTGAGGGAATCCACAACTTTGTAGAGGTAAGAAACATATGCACTCAGCCTGATGTTAGCTACACTAGAGCTGCTCAGTAAGTCAACTATGATGATTTAGTTCTTATGCTCTGATTGTGTTCTGGAATGTTTGTTAATGATTATCCTTACTGTTCTCTTGCTTCCTGCACCTCATCACATTTTTGTGGGGAGTACATTGTTGATAGGCACTTACGAAATTCCTAAATATAGTTAGGTATTATTGTTCTAGTAAAGAGGTCACTAAAGTGAATCAATGTTGGCTATAAAGATCAAATTCACAGAATACAAAAGGAGCAAGTGAACATTTAAAGCAAAGAGCTTATGTTTCCATTTAAAATGCCTTAAGGCGGAAGATAAACAATGCAATCCTGTGTGTCTTTGCGATGCTACATTAGCATTGTGGAGTCCAGCCGTCTCCTCTCCCGCTATCCATCACTCAGATGACATGTGATAAATGTCATCATTCATTCTCTTGAGTTATCCTGTGCTGATTTTTTTTATTTTTAACATACTGTCGTCTTTGATCCAAGTGATAAACATCTAATGACTTGTTTGTTGGTGATTGGGTGAAACATTGTAATTTAGACAGTTCTGGGAGTCACGGGGCATAACATTCGGGATCCGTGTGACTTTGAATATTTGGTCACTACACTATGGAAGGATATTTCATAATCATTTGAGCGTGAACTCATAAGACTTGAATGTATGTCTCTCCCCCAAGGTGCTCAATGAGTACTTTCACAACGTGTGCGAACTGGACCTCGTCTTCAACTTCTACAAGGTAAGCGCCTTGACAGAATGGCGAACCAAACACAAAGACAATGAGCATGTTTCCTCCTCTTTCTAATTAACACCTACGCGGTAGTTGTTACTTGCAAGGTCAAGGCGAGAATGCTTAGCAACAAATAACTCCCCAGCCGCTCTTGCCGGTCTTTCTAATTACTTAAGGCTTAAAATTATCTTACGGCCACAGATTAAACATAACACTTGCTGCTTTTTTTTTACCCAAGTCCAGAAGTGTCCAGAAGACAATTAGTTTTTTTTTCTTTTGTTCATACACCACCACAAGAAAATGATGTCTGGCCATGGGCTCCAGACTTCAGGCAGTTATTGAGGATTTTCATTCAGATTTGTTTATCTCAGTTGTTAAAATACTTTTTTGAGACCACTGCATATTGACTTCCACTATCTCCAGATAGCGGGTTTTAATTCTATAGTTTTGTGAAACTTCTTTTGTTCAAGATGAATGTCTACACTTGGAGCTCAAGTTTTATTTCAACTTGACTGTGCTGCCGCACAGCGAAGAAATCATAAAGGCTGTCACTATCCAAATACTTGAGGCCTTAGTCTGTGTTTGGTCATTTGATGCTTATTTTAAAATATGAGGACTTGACAAGTTGTCATTTGGTGAGGCAACATTCCAGGAACTTCGTCTTTATATGAGTAAGGAAGGAGATAATGTCATGTCTACTTTAACTCCGTGGTTTGTGGTCATCATTGAGTATTTTTATCCTGCAGTTCCCCTCGCTGCTGATCAACTGTATGTCGGAACGCCGTCTGCCTTACTTAACCAAGCCGTGTCTCCCTCCAGGTGTACACGGTGGTGGACGAGATGTTCCTCGCCGGTGAGATCAGGGAGACCAGTCAGACTAAGGTCCTCAAGCAGCTTCTCATGCTCCAGTCACTGGAATAGACAACAAACATGTTCCTGGCTTCCCTCCTGTTGATGAAGGGGAGTTCCTAGACCTTGAAATTGTTACGTGATATTTTGGCTGTGTCGCACTGCTCAATATGAAAGTTAAATTTGGGAAGTCAAGTGAGTTGTCACTTGGCAACAGTGTGTTCACGTCCAGCCCCTCCAATTAACCCTCATCTCAGAGCACTACTGTCATGAACAAGCACCATCATAATCAGTGCATCCGGCACTTAGGTGATTTTTAAAACCTGCCACTGATGTCAAAAACTCATCATGGGCATTTTACATGTGGCTCACCATTAAGTTTAATTCGGAGGCCCTTCAGAGCGGCTCGAATAAGTGTACTCCGGGCAAGTGTGCGATGACAACCTGTTGTATCACAAGATGGCCACCTCATTGCAATGGCATTTCAAATGTACTCTTAATACTCTTCATGACGCGGTGCTTGTTTGTCACACATTTTATAAAGCAGTACTGTGACGTGTGCGTAGTATGGTTCGTGCATATTGTATACTTGTATCTTAAAATAATTATATTGACTATAAAATGAAAAAAAAAAATCATTCCAGAGCACACTACATGTGCGCCTCAAATAGCATGTCGTCGTTTCATAAATGTGAGTCACATATTGGCTTCATGAAACCAACAACAAAAGCTAATTTGCTTGTGAAACCACCTCCCATAGCCCTAACATTGACCATATTCCATGGTGGTTTCCTGTTTTGTATTTTTTTTTTCCAATCGTTTTAGTGTGTACTGCTTCCCTTTAGTTTCCACCCAAGTGTGTTGATGGAAGTCTTGATTTGCAGTATTGTCTCCCAGTTCAAATACATGTACCATTCTGTGTAAATAAAATGATGTATGAGAACATTTTTGGACTCCAATTATCTATCTTTGTTTCCTGTGACGTAACATTTTTAAAAATCTATAAACTGTTGACAACATAAATTTCAAAGCATCAGAAAATCGACCCCCCCCCACACAAAAACTGGTTTTCATTTGATCTATTACCCTCAAAGTTGTACTGCATTACCACAGAACAATGTTCCTTTACCATGCATTGTAATTTATAGCGATGACGTTTCAGAAAAAAATGCAACTGTTGCTGAAACTATCCTTGATTCATAAATATTACTAAATATATTATTATATAATGAAAACCTGACATGCTCGAGAAAAACGAGGCCAGATTCGGAATCGGCACAAAAAATTGCTGAAGGTTTGCTTAAATCTTAAATTCAATATCGAGAAAAACGAGGCCAGATTCGGAATCGGCACAAAAAATTGCTGAAGGTTTGCTTAAATCTTAAATTCAAATATTGAGTAAACTTTTGTGGACCAGGGTAATATACTTGACATCAACTGATAGCGTTGATGCAAAATGTCCAGGCCCAAATAAAGTGTGGAAATGGTAGATTTGTCGACAGTGCTGACCAAAGGATTATTAATTGCTTCATCTAGTAAGAAACCTGGTGACCTAACACCACCTAGTGGCAGACTATCAGTATCACAATTTCCTCGTGCAATTGAATTATGAGATCACCCCGACAGCATGGCCAAGATCAATAAATCAGTCGATACATCCACTCAGGTTACATAAAACCGCTCAGGTTATAACTGAACCAAACCTGGGGAATAAATCAACACGATTGGGGCACCGTGGCGGCCATTTACTGTTCATCACGTGAGCCTAGTGATATCATGACCTCGCTCCGTTGCTTCGTAAAGACAAAGTGCTCCACAGTGGAAGGTGATGTGAAGCCATTGTTACATTTCAGGACGTTCCGAAGCCAACTGAGATTTATTTGAGGGATTTTAAGAAGGAAACTCAGAATGTGGTAGGAGACATCGAATGACAAAGGTGCTGGCTTTTCACTGGAAAAAGACAAGCATATTTACTGGGGATTGCATAATCCTTACAATCAACGAGCGACACTCGCCCTCTAAAGACAACTCTTATGTACAACGAACATGTACAGTCCTATTTAAAACAATGTAGCATTTGTTACCAAGCAGCAACTGAGTGCATCAACGTAGACTGGATGACATCAGAAAATACCGGCTGCATGTTGAACACAAACTTCCTAGAAAAAAACAAATTATCACACGCAGTTGCTCCTTTGTAAGAAATGCCGACATCTCCAGTTAAAATATTTATTACAGTTTCAAGTCAAATGAAAATGTACAATTCCATAGTTACAGCATATAAACAAGAAAAGTAAAAGTGCACTTGCAGAAGGAAAGAGAGTTGAGGCCACACTGAAAAGAAAAAAGAGTACTGACAAATCAAAACAGTGGGAGGAAAGAGTAGAACTTTATGAGGAATTCAAAATAAGAAAAAAAACTATGTTGGGGGGGAGTCATTTTATGAGAATTAAGTGCATTGGACCCTCGCACACTCATGGTTCAGCACCCGCAGATTCCCATATTTGCATTGTTTTTGTTTACTGTTGTTTGTTTGTTTGTTTGTTTGTTTGTTTTTTTGCTTTGACTTGCCAGGAAAAAATCTGAGCGCCGTACAGTGGCAGCGTACGCAACTCAACATAAAACAAGAATTATACATTGCGATTTAAAACAACCACACAACCTTTGCGTTGCCTAATCGTATTGATGTTCTTTTGGTGGTTATTGCCACCTTCTAACCAGCGCCAATAATGCATCATAAGTATTTGCCAACCCGCCAAAAGAAAGTTTGAACACGAAATGGAGGAAGAACAAAAACAAGAAGTCATGGCAACAAATGTGTGACGTATCATGATTTCAGCATACCGCTCCCTTACGCCGCAACGAGGATTTGCAGCAGCAAACGGCGCAACAACTGACCAGAATTCTACCTTTGGCCACATTTGCGATACAACATTCTTGTTTAACTAAGCCACTTTAAGAAGAAAACAAAAAGGTTCGTGTAGTTCGAAGCAGAAATATTATCCAACTGGAACTCATTTTCCGCCATCAACAACACAGGGCGCTTTCCGAAATTTACACTGAGGCCCTAACACCACTCGGAGTATGTGTGTATTCGGAGAGGCAAAGTGCGCTCCTCTCCCAAGTAATCAGCAGTCTCTGCTAAACCTGTTTCCATCTGCATTGCCCAACGCACTGGGCTCCGGCACTCCTTTTTTGGGGGCACTCTGAATAACCCAACAGAACAATGTGCACAACGCTATTAGTTTCCGAACACTCCCATGATTAGGGAAGAGGGATTTTCAGGGAGAGTCCGAGCTCTACTGTTCTTTGTCTCGTTTTGTGTAGAATAAATTTTCCTCAAAAAATTAAATTCCTGAGCAACTTATGTTTAACGGGGGGTCATTTTTTTTTTTTTGGTTGCACCTGATGTTTTGAAGCAACTTATCGTCGGAAACATAATAATTCTTTATATTCTACTTAATGATGTTATTACTTTATTTATTTTACAAATGACAATATTGATAGAATGCTATTGTCCTCATTAAAAACTAAATGAGATGCATCTTTGAGGAGGTTGGAAAGCAGCACTGTCATACCATCCATCCACTTTCTGTTGCTGGAGCAATTCGCAGCTGAATTCTCAGTCACATTTTTTTTCGCACAACATTATCACTGCAATCTCACAATTTGTTTTTCTTGTCAGTGTGACCCTAATACTCCTTCATACGGAAGAAAACTATTAGAGAAAAAAATGAAGACAATTTCTTGATATACTGTACATTTAAAGATGTATATATAGGTATATTATCTCCCATTTGCATGATTCACGTTGTCTTTGCTCCAAGTGTGCTTACCTGCTCACTTGAGATGATAAAGTGTGTATGTGTGAGAACACACACATACAAGAGGAGATGACATTAAAAACGTGTCTTGTTCGTTTTGGGTCACTCTAACCTTGAGTGGCGGCTTTTTGTTTTCTCATCCTCACGGTTTCCGCAGCCCCACAAAGTTCGCTGGCTGCAGTGCGGAGAAGCAAATTACCCGTTGCTCTCTCAATAACATGTGGGAGAGCGCCAAGCTGCTCATGTGCTTGGCGAGGGAAAGTGAAAAACTACTCTGGAGGTTCAAAACACGCTTGCTCACGTATGACCGCTTTGAGGGAACTGTGGCTTCCTGTGACGTCTGTAGACGGCATGTGTGACTTGGGAGGTCGGCTAGTACAACTTCAACTTGGGCCAGCTGGAGCATGAGCTCTGCCTTTGTGCTTTTTCAGCAAAGAACGGGCAACATATAGATTCCAAACAACACTAAACTAATATGGACGGAAACGAGGACAATACTCCCATGTAATAAAAGTGCAATTTGATGCCAAAACTTTTAAGCTTTTAAATTGTGGGTAAGCTTCGCGATGGCGTCATAAATCTCTCCTATTTAAATACAGTAGTTGCATTTACAAAACCAGTCAACGAATGTTCAAGTGCTGAAGAGAGTACACCCAGCAATTCGTCGATCAACGATAATTTATAAACCAAAGATGTGCAAATTTTGGTTTTGTGTGTGTGTGTGTGTGTGTGTGTGTGTGTGTGTGTGTGTGTGTGTGTGTGTGAAACACAATGAGAAAAAAAAATAAAAATACAATAGTCCGTACAAACAACCCTTGACTTGTCCATATCTGGTAAGGACTGAAGACCATCAGAGCATGTCTTCACGCATAAATAGGCCTTACCAGAGGCCAAGGCTCAGGAGTTGCAGTGGTCGCCGCGAGCACTTATCCAGGTGCGATGAGGTGTGTGTGAGACACCCCAATGTGCCTGGAGCTGACACACACACACACACACACACAGACGAGAAGGAGACTTAAAAACATATCCACTGGCTCCAACACAAGCGTTTGAAGGTGTCACGGACCTGTACGGGACGTTCTGTGCACTGGATGAGGAGGAGTGCAGAGACCTAGCAACTACACTGCTGCTTGTTCTGTGAGGTGCTGCCTCGCGGCTGTCGCAGCTGCCTCAGCGAAGCGTCTCCGTACTGGATGCCCGAGCCCATCCTCTCTGGATCCAGCTCGCCTGGGGAGCGAAATGCAAACAGTGACCAGCACTGACAGATAAACAAAAGGGGAAGGCTGGGGGGGTTATTATTTTCTTCTCCCCCCTGAGTTTGTAAACGTACTCACTTGTAAAGAAATTAGATAACGTATAAGGTGGTGATGAATGAAGGCACCACCTGCCACCAACCCTATTCTTGAACACTCTTTGCTTTTTGTCATGTAAAAAAAATACCTTGTAAGTATGTGAAATTCAAGCCTCTTGCATTTTCATTCTTAAGCATTACCCTTACCTCTATCATGTTTATTTAATGCTGTTATTCTCACAACTTTTGGCACTTACTGGACTAATCTGGGATATCTGTGACTGTGAAGCCAGTCTCCAAGAGCAAACGCACATCTCAGTGATCAACCCGTAGAGGTCTGTTTGCAGTTCCTTACAAACGTACTTTGAGCGCCTCGATCCGTCGCAGTACTTAAGCAAATTAGTGTCCTCTTCCGTCATGTCGAGGAATATCAGTGCGCCTCTCACATGTGCCATTAAAAGGGAATGAGAGGAGCCGCTTTGATTGGCGGCGAAACAAGTCACTGCAACAGCTCGCACGGGTCTTCCAAAATTACCAAAATTTAATCCAGCCTGCCCCGGCAAAGATTTACACCGCACCTTGCACCAGATGTCCACTGGGCACAAAAATTGGGCCCTGAGCGAGCAAACTAAGATTCAGCAGAGAATGGAATACAACTGATGAGTACCTGAGTCAATCTTGTTGAGGATGGTGCGAGCGCACTTGAGGAAGCCCTCTTCCACGTTCTCTCCTGTCAGAGCACTGGTCTCCAAAAACATCAGCTCTGTGCAAACCGAGCAGGAAGCAAGATGAAGGAGATGACAAAACAAAACAAGAGTGTTTGAATTACCGTTCTCCTGAGCGAAGCGCGACGCCTCCAGGAAGGTGACCTCTCGCTCGGCCTCAAGGTCTTTCTTGTTGCCGCACAGGATGATGACAATGTTGGGGCTTGCTAGTGTGCGTGCATCTGTCAGCCAGTTGGTCAGAGCGTTGTATGTCTCTCGGCTGGAGGACAGGACACAGTGACAAATGGATAACAGAAATAGCTGTCACTGACACCACGCCCCACTGGAGATAAGGATTGTAGTTGTTGTTTTTAATCAAACATACTTTAGAATTATGTCCAAATGTTGACAATATTACATTTTCCTACATGTGTTTGGGATCGGCTGTTATGGTCTGACTCATTTATTTATTTTTTAATCACAAACCCTGGCAGCATTAAAGAATATGTTGACTTTTTGTATACACCCAGCCAATCATCAATCATTATTTGTACATTCGTTTCTGATTGCAGACAAACATACATAAGACAAGTCAATATTTATCATCAGGAATCCATTTGTTATCAACATCCCTGAGTGCTGTACAATTATGATCACTTGACTAATAGGAAGATGGCTGCCAAGATAACCAGAGTGAGTGTTTGAGGCTATTTTTAACAGCTGTATTCAATGCCGCGCCCTTACTCAAATTTGTACTCAAGTCGGAATGCACGTAGTCTGTCACGGACCTACCCTCATAATTTAAGTAAATATTTGTATGAAAAACACTTCTAGACCATTGATGGAAACCTAATGAAAAACAGAAACTACAAAAGTAATTTGCTGTGCCTTCTTGGGCCCTGTGACCCTCAAAAGCAAAAATATTTTACCTGGTAATATCATAGACAAGAAGTGCTCCGGCTGCTCCTCGATAATAACTGCGTGTCACAGAACTGTGAAAGCCAGATAGCAACATTCAATTCTCAAATGTTCAATTGCATAAACATGTTTCAAAAATGAATCTGTGACAAGTTACCGGAAGCGCTCCTGGCCGGCTGTGTCCCATATCTGCAGTTTGACCGTCTTCCCAGCAACATTGACCACTCTGGAACCAAACTCTACACCGATGGTGTGGTTGGAGTCCTGTTTGACTGCAATTGCACAAGTATTCATTTACCACAATGCTTGAAATGTTGGCTGTTTCAGATCTTTTTTTTTTTTTTTTGGTCTGAAGTCACTGAATAACCTTTAATAACACAATGTGCAATTGTGCATTTAAAAAAAACAAATTACATTTGTTCTCAATGAACTGATGGAGGAGACAGGATTTCCCCGTCCCGGCGCTGCCAATCACCAAGAACTTAAAGAGGAAGTCTGAAAGCAGAGAAGAGCGGAGATCAATGCTAAACAAATGTCAGGAGACAACGCGAACCGGCTGCATTTGGCACTTGCAGCCTCAGGGACAAGCCTTTTAATCTCATCAAGCTCCTACTCTCACAGCTCCTGGCAGGCCCTAATTTAACCTCATCACCACTGAGCGCACACAAAACACGGTCTGTGTGCACTCGCCGCGTGGCTAAGTGAAGCAGCAGAACTTTACATATTTGGCATGAGAGCTGTTAAACATGGCTTTGGGTGACTGCGCCATAGCCATTACCAGCTGTTTGTACAGATGTTGTTGTTGCGGAGGAGGACAAGCCGGATGGCTCTGACGACACAAGGCTTGCCCAGGATGCATGCTGATGACATTCAAGAAGCTCTTGTGTGCTGTGACTCTTGAACAGACTGAAATATTCAATTATTTATTTATTTATTTTAAACGACATGTTTAAAAGGAGAAAAAAAAAACATGGAAGTTTAACCATTACCATGCGAGATCTCAGCATGTCGTGTCGGAGTGCAAAGATTAATTGAATAACCCAGGGCTCCAGAGTTGTTTAGCCCCTAACCTGAAATTTTAGGAGTGCGAGTGAATCAGATACGGGCTCACACTCTACTTTCTACCTATTCTACTTTCTAGGGGTGTATGTGTACCTGGCTGGAAAAGAATAACCTGAAATGACTGTGAACTCCACATCTATTAATATTCAAGCCTTCCGTGGTGAAGCTTCTTGCTTGAGTCTGGAATTGAAAGCAGTGTCACGTGCTAACTGAATCCAGCCACCTATTTTCTATTGCAATTGTTTGAGAGGTGGGGTGCAATCTGAACTGGTTGCCGGACAACCACTGGGCACATTCACACACACACACACACACACACACACACACACACACACACACACACACACACACACACACACACACACACACACATCAC